GATGTTTCTTTTGCTTGCCGTGAGTGTCACGGGATTACGATGTGTCAGAGGCTGTAATTCAATTGTTGCAATTTCCTGACATTGGATCGTGGGGCACCGCAACACCACCCACCCACAGCCAAAGTGGCCCCACTGCCGACATGAACAACTGCGGCAGTGTTCCCCTCCACTGGTGGCCCGAGCTTTTGGAAATTCCACATTCCCATGGCAGGAAATGTGGATTTTATTTGTTGGGTGGCGGCCGCGGATTGCTTACCTTGCCGAGTTGACCGCGACCCGAATTTGAATTTCCGCGAACGACACAAAACGAAAAGGTTCAAGTGTTCATCTAAAATCTAAATCGTCGGTTTTTACTTTCACGCCGTCTGTGTCACATGGGCGGCGTCCTGGGGAGTTCCTAATGGCCATGGCGGAGGCACTGGGCCAGAACGACTTCTGGGTTTCCCCAGAGTACCTCTCTCGTCCAGACACCAGCTGCCCCCCTCCCCCCATTATCCTGTTTAAAATAGATATATAAATATATCTCGCGTAGTAAACATCCAATTAAGACTTTCAGAGCAGAGCCGGGCTCAGACAAAATAAATGAAAAAGCTAACCACGTGTTGTGTGCGTTTTGCAAACTGAGGCTAAGAGCGTCAATGAGTTATCGCTGTCCAACGGGGTGAGGCTTAACACTCGTTAAAGATAATAACTTCAAACTTGTAACGCGCTGAACGGTACTATATTCGCTCGCTCGTGAGAGGACAACTCTGAAGCGCTCGGAGGAGGAACCACAGACGAGATGGTTAAGGTAACAACAGCCAACAATTGCCAAAGCTTTGTGATCCTCTATATATTAAGATGTTTTGGCCATCTTAGACGAATTCCAGTTATTTTAAATTGCGATCGCTTATGTTTATTAGGATCTGAGTACCAGCTGATGAAGTTTGTTTTTCTATTCAATTTCGTTCGTGAACCGGGAGCCCTTGAGCTACTTTGGATAATCTTCCTTTGCCTCGTTTGCGTGTGTACTCTCTCGCTACCACCGGTGGATCGGGACGAGACTCAGATCATGATGGGGACGTAACCACTGCCACTGGCCCAGGGCTTGCCAATGGACACGGGCATCACCTCTCGTTTGAGACACTTCAACTGATTTCGAAAAGTGTATTGGTTTAGCCATGTTTGTTTGTTGTAGTACAGAGTTAGACTGATGGCCTTAATCTAAGTTGTCTTGTGGTTGTTGTTGGTTGTTTGACTTGCATCCCACTGGGATTTTTGCACACAGCGTTGGTGTACGGTGTTTTTTTCTGCAATATTTTGCTGTCTTTTCTTGGATTTTCTGTTTGCACTCAGATGTTTTTTTGTTCATGTTTTTGTTTTTTGTTTGTTGCGGTTGCACCCGATTCAAGAGCCGAATGGCTCACAGGGCTCTATACCTAATAAATGAACTTGAACTTATTATTACAGTTTATATCAAGAAACAATGCCACGCACGAGAACCAGCGTCACCCCTATAAATGAACAAATGGAACGTTCCGCAAGCTGTGATTGGCTAACGCCGTGCAGGTGCAGCGTGGCCTTTGGGGCATTCCATTTATTGCGGGGTGGGGGGGGGGATTTGGAGAATGAGCTGCTGGTTTTAACATTCGCCCCTTGCACATGTGTTCAGCATTTTTTCAGCCTCATGCAACATTTCCTGCCCAGATGTTGATATTACAAACAAAAGTGGCCATTGTCTGTAACCCCAAAACGTTTACATTGTTCGGTTTTTATTTTCGCGCATTTGTCGCAGTCCATCGTGGTTTGTCACTCGCTGCACGCCGTTCAGGCTGCTGGTTTTATTTTTTGTTTTGCCATTGTTTGAAAGTCAGTTGTGGTGGTCATAATGGAGAACGCTTGTCCCTGTCACGGTAACGTGGAGTTTCCCACCGCTGGTTAGAAGCCACGGAAATTGAAGATGAGCCGTCGCCCAGTGCTCGTTTGCGCTTGGGAAAACATTTTGACTTGATTGAAATGTGCATCGTTACATGCAGTCTTATTGTTTATTAATTCATGCTGATAAATATATTCATAAGATGTATGTATGCAGTCTGTGTGTCTGTGCGCCTGTCTGTGTACTGTATATCTATGTGTGTGTCTGTGTGGAGCGGTCGTGCAGTGATTAGTACACTGCTCTACGAACCCAGCGACCCAGGTTCGATTCCCGCTCACGGCCAACAACAGTGACGATTATCTGAGCCGGTCCTGGACCTCCCCTAGGTCGACTCAGCCTCAAATGAGTACCCACTGGGGATACAAATGAGGCCAGGCTTGGTGCTGGCCACCCACCCCCTCGCGTGCGGTGCCGGTCTTCATAGGTGCTCGCGAACAGCACTTTCCCCACAGTGTGTGAAAAGGCTATACGGGGGATATTTGTCTTTGTCTGTGAGTGGGTACTCCCACACATTTTTGACCATTCGAAAGTGTGGGTTTTCAGATTTTTGTAGCCGCTATAGGACATGGGTGTAAAAGGCATTTTTAGAAATGTTCATCTTATTAAGCCTTCTTAGAAAACCAGTCACTCGGGAGCTCATGATAATCTCCACGTGTTATCTTAACAAAGCGAAGGTGTGCATTTGCATTGGGTGCCTTAAGCCACTTTCGGAAAGATTTTGTACGAATGCATTTTCATCAAACTACAGGTCCTAGTTATAGAGAGGAGGTCCTTGTCTTTAGCATCTGGCAAGTTCACCAGCAGTTCTATCAAGTAAGCTTGATTTGCTGATGAGACACTGCACGTTGAACCGGTGCATAGATACGTGCGTGTACTGAATCAATGTTGCCGAAATCATTCACTGCCCCCAGAAGGCCGTGGTCAAGATCAGTTGTGTACAAAAATAAATATATTTGTAAAGTTCTTAGATTAACTCAGTTTTCCTTGTGTCACGCGCAATAAGTTTTTACGACATATAGCCGCATTTATCCGCGGTGAACGGCCGTGTTTGTGTAAGCGCCAATTTCATTCTTTATATGGGCGGTCGTGCTGCGTTTTGGTGTGTGTTCGCCAGATTCATTAGCGCCGGATACGATTTGTCTTACTGAGAAACGTGTCCTCTTCTGCGCGTCACAACTCACCCCCCAACCCCCACCACCCCCCAGTTTATCTCTGCAATTCTCCCGGGGCAGGGCAGTTATCCAAATGGTGCGCGCCGATGGATGGCGTGGCGGTCGGTACGGTTTCTCTGAAGGGTCACATTCCCCCGAGGGCTCACGCCAAAGCGAAGCGTCGATCCGTCGAGCGCCGTTCGCTTCCATGAACGCGATGTGCAACTTGACGAGGCCAGAGGGAAGATAGGCTGGCATCCCTCCCGACCGGGATTGGGATTCATAATCTTTTACACTATGAGACATCTCCTTTACCAGTGGCAAAATATAGTAGTAGGTTTTTACCCTTTCAACTGGTACAAAAACTGACACCTTTATACAAGGCATCATGTTTGCAATAACCACAACACAAGCAGTCAAAATGCAAACAAAAAGAAACAACTCTGATGATGATAATGATATGCACTGTCCTTGAAGTTGATTGGTCCACACCCGAAACAGCTTTTCTTAGAGCCTAGTCTCCATTGGTGTTGGACCAGATGACGCCAAAAGACGTATAAAGGTGTATAAAGGTGTCAGTTTTTGTACCAGTTGAAAGGGTAAAAACCTACTACTATATTCATAATCTTATACAGCAATCGTCAGTTGGATATGTTCAACCGCAGTACAACCCAGATAAAGCAATGCGCTCATAGCAGCTATCGTTGAATGCTTTAGAGTAGTTTGCCTGCTAGAAATGTCCACGTGATAAGCCACTTCGTTGAGCTATCATTCGTGGCCAAGTCGCTTCTGAAAAATTGCTGATTAGCTCAGTTGGCCTTACCTGGTAAAATAAAAAAGTAGTAGTTCACACCATTAAAAGTAGTTACAATTACAGGCATTGTAATTGCTCTTGTCTCTTGCCCTATTTGTTTTACACAACTGTGAATGTCCAGCATGTACCGTTTGTATAGTCACGTGACGCACCCACAAAACATTTCTGCTCGAGTGGAGTGACAGCACCACTGTTCTTTGTATGTACCTTGAACTTCGTTCGCACCGTACGTAGCCAGCCGTGCTAATCGGAGGTGCGGATGAATTCCACAATCGTGCCCCATTCTCTTTCACGCGACCTCAGGGGAAGGGCGCTCCTGACGGTCCGATGACAGTCGAAACACGATCGTCCCCAGCACCGCACGTGCTGTCAATGCTCCAGCGTGAGTCGCAATTCGAGGCCTCTGCTTAGCGCCTAGAATTTCCAAAGTAAACACTGAGCAAAGACAACGAGCACATATCTGGATCGCAATTCCAGTATGCTGGCTATTACGCTGTTGCTACGCTGTTGTGCCGTCATCGATGCGCTGCAGTTGAATCAATGATGCAAGTATCGTTCGAACCGCTTCAGCTCTGTCCGTCCAGCAGTATAAATAGCCGCAGTACACTTTATCGTTCGGCAGGTCGCGTTCGGTGGGTTGAAGTGTGGAAACTTCCCACCCTTCCAAGACATGTGACAAGCGTGGAAGAGTAGACCAAAATGTACTGCATCAGGACTAGTGCAGGTTTCCCTGTCCACCCAGCCAGTGCTGTATCAATCTGCAGGTCACGTGTGATGGGGTAAAGTGTGGATACGACCATCTTTTGCAATGCGTCTGTGAACCCTGCAAGAGTAGACCAAATACCCTCCAGAGGTTGCTCGAGTGGAGGCCCTTCCGTAAGCGGTCGTGTGTGCTGAACCTTTACGTTTCTCTCATTGTTTTTCATGAATATAATGCTAACACCATTTCTAATGGGCGCTTATTTCACTAATTGTTGAGCGCATTGTTCTCTCGCCAACTCGGAGGTGTGGAGCCAGAAACGGGGCCCCCGTTGATTCTTTATTCTTTTTGCTGATGCCACCCTCCGTTGCTGCGTGTGCTCCGTGTGGCTGCTCGTGGCCGCGTGTTTGCGCCGTGCAGACGAAGGTTCTGCGTGAGCGCTGGCTCCTGGAGGGAGCGCCGGCCGGCTCGGCCGAGGAGCAGGAAGCCGTGAAGAACCAGCTGGCGGAGAACGAGCAGCGCTCCAAGCAGCTGGAGGAGACCATCCACAGGTATGGCGCGGCACGGCGTGATACGGTGCGACACTGCCGCACATTTGTGTCCGGCATCGGGTCAGATACCCACGGGGGGCAGTGGGTATCCAACAGGTACCCGCAAAGCAAGCCGGAGTTCGACGGTCTGTCCGGCTTGCCGTCCGGGCGGGGGTCAGGTCATGCCGCGAACACCGACGCGCCAAGCATGACCCTGACCCCCGACCCCGAATGGCGGCGACGAGCGGTGGCGATGACTTGGCTCTGACGTGGCGTGAGGTGCCATCCGTGCTCGCTTCTTCTTCGCGACGGATCCTGCGCTCATCGCATCGGCCTTATGGGTGGCGGTTCTCAACCCCACCACCCGCTACCCAGGAGGGTGTGAAAGCCTCCAGTAGGGGGCGGGGGGCACTGGCTACTGGACATCTGTGAAAAAGAGCTTCGTCGCTCATCGGATTTCTCCAGGAGAAATAAAGATAAAGGTTCTGAGGTTGCTGATCTTGTGCACTGTTCCCCTGGGGCCGCAACGACACGGACATCAATGCGCCGCCTGGGTCAAGTCGGGTAACAGAAGCTAAGCAGGTCTTTTTTTACTTTGAACCTGGCTAGTAATGCGATCGGTGTCCGACAGGGATTGCCAGGTGTTGCGGGCGTGGGACGGATAAGTGGCCGGGAGATGGCAGTGCTGAGGAGTGTGACTCCCCTCCCTCCCTACGTATGCATGGCGGTGGTGGTGGTGATGGCGGTGGTGGCGGTGGTGGGGATATCGCCGGCCTCTTCGGTTTCCTTGCAACTTGGAGCCAAACGGCCGTGACCGGGACTGGCCGAACATCACCAAGCGGCCGGGTCCCTTCCTTAAATATAGTCGTTGCACTCGCCGAGGCTTTCTCGGGTCAGTAAAGAGTCGCACGATGGTGCCTGCGGCGGCTGTCATCCAGCAGCGGATTGCGAGAGGACTGTGAATTATGATGATTTGTGTAGAGGCTGCATGTCCGGCACGCGTGCTGCGTGCACAAGATGGGTGACGAGAAACAGACGGCTCACTCACAACAAAACTTAACACCGCAACCGGCCCTCGCAGCGTGGACGCAACGGATTGAAAACCGCTGGTGGGATGTTCGAACTGAACAGTGGTGGGGGGGGGGGGGGGCGGATGGGGGGGGTGGTTACGTTTGAAGGCACAAAGAAGGCCTTTGTTAGATGTCGAGTGCTGCGGTACCCCGCCGCCTCCCGGGGATGCGCGCTGCGCGTTTCGTGTGTGCCAAGGTGGGGGGCGGTAGCGGTGGTGGTGGTGGTGCCGTACGCCGGGCGGTGGCGCAGTGCGGAGGCCACGTGGGGCGGTGGTTGCCGGTTGCGATGCGCAGCGTGCAGCGTGCCGCTCTCCTCGTCGCTTGCTCTGGTGCGTACGGAGGGTACTCCGATCGTCTGAGACTTCGTACGGCGAAGTCGCAGACGACTCTTGAGAGGATCAGCTCTAAGCGATTTAGATGTTCACTCTCGTCACTGCTGGCCTGTGGCCAAATCACACGGAATAATAATTATGCATTTTATTTTTAAAGCGCTCTTAAACAATGGATCTCAGAGGACCAGGGAGAGAGACTCCAGAGACTAGGTAGAGAAAGAGAGAGAGGAGGCTACTGTGCTAAACAGGCGGTGGAGTCTACAGCCGGGACTCATGACCCCATATCGAGACTCCATCTCGAATTCTATCTCGAGTCTCCATCTCGAGTCTCCATCTCAAGCCTCCATTTCGAGCCTCCATCTCGAGTCTCCATCTCAAGTCTTCCGTCTCAAGTCTCCGTCTCAGACTCCGAGTCCCTCACCTCCATGGCCATGGAACTCCGGGGGCCTGGGCCCCTTGCATCCCTGGGGGGTCACCCTGGGGTCAGAGCCTGGAGCGTGGCTCCGCCGAGTTAGGGGGGTGGTGGTGGGGCACCATCGGTGGGACCTCGTGAATCTCAGTGGAGGGGTGCGGTGTTGCTCAATCAACTCCCGATCTCATTGGTCATCGGAAGCTAAGCAAGGGTCGAGCCTGGACAGTGCATCGATGGGCGGCCACCGTGCATTGCAGGTGTTGCCGCCTACATTGTGGGGCTGTGGTGGCACTCTTCGCTATGGACCTGAAATCCTAAGTTCGATTCCCAGCCGCAACCTACATCAGTGGCAATTGAATTCTGAATCATTCCTGGGCCTCCTGCCTTCACCGGCGTAAGTGACGTATGGTCAAGCAACCCCAATGAACGACACGGCATGGGGAAGCCATCTCCCAGCAGTTGATTGGCCAAGGGCTGCATATTTAATCTCTGCTCAATACCGGATTTCAATTGCACCGTACACACGTATATAACCCAGCGCAAAAACTACACGCAGTAAAGAATGTGCGCGTAATATATAATGTTTAGTACACGTGTAGTCGGGTATTTATTTCACTTGGAGGAGCAGAAATTCTCAACGTTTCACCCAATTCGGCCATCATCCCTCTGGGTGGGCTAAATTGAGTATCACATTGTGGGAGGTAAACAGTGGGTGTTGTATGGGTGGGTCACTGGCCTTTGCCATAGGAATGTGTAAATTCCAACCACTGGCTCAGGGCTATGAATATAAATGGTAACACTTTGAATTGTGAATCTCTTCCAGGAAATGCGTGTATTTATTGACCACAGCTGCTATGCAGAGGCACCGAAGCGTATAATGCCAGGCAGTCAGAAATAACTACTTCTAAGTTAAGCGTAGCTCATGGTGGGAAGTTACGATCTTCTTAAATTAGAATCATAATCCCAGGTATACATGAGCACGGTTGGCTACGTGCGGTGCCAAATCAGTTCAACGTACACGCATACACACAAGGGAAGCATCACCGAAGCTGAAGCTTCTTTCTCAGAAGGACCATGCATTTCGATGTCATCGTGGGCTGCTGGTGGATCCTGATGGCCTTTAGTGCGGCCCCTGACAGCACACAAATGTGAAAACACCCCGTCGCGTTGTCACACCCCAGTGGCTTCAAACGTGTGGCGGCCCTCACACCGATGATGTCTGATATGAACACACGTGAAGAGTACAATCGTAAAATGCAACATCTGTTGCGTGCATCGTAAGCATGGCAATGATTTTGAAATGAATCGTGGTATAGGCACCTCGTTGTGGCCTGTTCCACCCGGCAAGCACCGTGAATGAGCACCTAATCACCGAACGATGGCGTTCGAGCAAAGGAGTGTCAGCCAAGGAACGCCAACGCGCCCGAGATCACGTCCATCGTGGAAATGGAGCGGTGAAAATCAGCTCGTGGCGCAAGCGTTAAGTGGATTGTATCGCAGGCTTTGCGATAGATGATCACAGCTTCGGAGAGGCCCTTATCCAGCAGTGGATTGATCATGGCTACTGCTGCTGTTGCTGTTGATGATGATTCAGCCCAGCATAGCACGTACAAAAAAACGACTTGTTCGAGAATTTCCCCGAAACAATAAAAAAATAAGTGTTTCACTTGTTTTACGTTCACATATCAAATTTAAATTGCACGTGCAATAAAATAGTTTAATAACGCCAACGAAAGGGGACTGTGATTTGTGGTAATGGTCCAAGCCGCGTTGTGTTTCCCGTCTTGGTTTGCAAGGAGACATTCCGTAGTCCGCGCGCGAACGTTAATTTTACTTTTTTTGGGGGGGGGGGGGGAGGAGGTGGGGTGAAACTTGCCCGCAGCAATCCGAATCTTTCCCCGCGTAAGAAAAATGTGTCTCGAATCAGAGCGTTATTTATGCATGGCCGTACAAGAGATTAAATCTCAGAGAACGCTTGATGTTACTTTGAAGGTACCAATAAAGTCAAACATGTTTTCGCGATATACCGTAGAAGCAGCGCTCGTATATCCAGTGCACCGCCGTCGCACGTCCGTCACATATCCGCCCTGACCAGTTAACCGCCCATATCCAGCAACCTCTATTTTTGCACGCAGTGTACCCCGTTAATGTTTCACTGAATATTCACAAATCAGCCCTTTTCACATTCCGATGGCGTGTGCACGTACGTCATCCAGTTTTTCTTCCGATTCCATTCTGATGACGGAATCGATTCTGTACTGAATCGGAAGTAAAAGGCCCATTGCGGGAGGGGCGTGTGGCGCAGTTTGGCGCCAGCTGGCGTAGAGCGGCGGTCGTGTCGCTACGGTTCTCTGCGGTGAGTAACAACGTCTTTAAAAACAGCGGCGCTACGGCCTCTCTAAATAAAATGAACGCTGAACCGAACCGCTTGCGCGTTACGAGAGTCAGCGGTGAACGGGGCACCCACCTTGCAACTTACAGACGTCTCGGAACAGCAAAGGGTTGATCTCTCCGTACAGACGCTCGCTCCAAGAACACGGTAACGCACCGCCCCGCGTTTAAAGCAGTGTGCGCTTCGTTTGTGTCCAGTAGAGTCCGATGCGTACGTGGTGGCACTGTCATTTTCCGAGAGACGCTCACATATGCCGACCCATTCACGGCTACCCACTCAGTCCTAACAGTGAGCCTGCTTCGGTGAGCTGGGAGCATGAAGGTCAGAGCGAGGCCCAGTCAAGGGGGGCCTCTCCCGCTCATATACGAGCAAGGGGAAATGTTCATTTTCATCGGCAGCCCTTGCATTCCACATTCCTATGGAAGGGGACGGTGTTGTTTGTCGGACAGCAATTGTTGACTACCGGCAAACGTGGCTGTTTAATTTGTCAACCCCCACAGGGCAAGTAACAACAAAAATCAAACAAACCTCAAAGTATTTGTCAGTCACACTGTGGCCTTGAAAATGCATCGTATATAATAGGCAACGTTTCGCGCAGCTGCTCTTCCTCACAGCACATGGAGAGGTAGAGATAAGGCCATTAGACACTTGACCGCGATTTGAACTCATCGCTTTCTCCGTGAGCGCTCTGCTTTCATCGTCGTGACCAAATCGCCCCGAGTGCCCCCCCACCTCATCCGATGTCGGATGCTAAGGGTAGTTAACCCTGACTGGAATCTGGATGGGAGACTTCCTGGGAAGGTCAGGAGTTGTGGGTTTGGGCTGTGAGGCAGCCGGGAGATGGCGACACGAAACACTTTCCTGCGGAGGGAGCTGGTAGGAACGTTGGGTTGCTCGATCAATGGCCAGGGTCAACGGCGGCGTGGTGTATTCCGCAAATATGCCCGACTGTGAGGGCGGGCACAAGCCGGCGTGAGTAGGTTAAACGTTGAGTTTTATAAGGGCACCACGGGGTGACCAGCCCCTCCCCACCCAGCCTCGCCCCTCCCACCCCCCACCCAGCCCCACCCTCCCCACCCAGCCCCTCCTCACCCTCCCCACCCAGCCCCTCCCCACCCTCCCCTCCCCACCCAGCCCCTCCCTGCACGACGGACACAATAATCCCCTGTGGGCTGGTGTAACCAGGAGGTTCCTACCAGTATTAAATGTTGAACCAATCGCGTGACGAGAATGCCGTCTCGTTTTGTTGTGTCCTCGTTGGTGCGGGTTCTCTCCAGGTGAATCTGCTTCCGCCTCAAGCGCCAAACTTGTGCAGTGTCAACCTGCCGAACGCCCCCATTGAGAAAGTCCGAAAAGGAACCCATCGTCAGAACAGAGACATCAGTACAGACCACAAATCCACAAGTTTCAGGCAACACACAGCAACGTGTGTGTGTGTGTGCATTATGTCAACAACAACAAAAAACAGATTTGAAGTTTTCGAGACTGCAAGGGTCCATACTCTTTGGTTTTTTCGGTAAAGTCACGTAGGTAAAAAAGAAAATTAAGAAAATAAATTAAATCACGATGTTTTGGAGGCAACACAAGCTTCCGTCTTCAAGTTGAACCGTCACAGAAATTTTGCAATTTTGCTGCGACGGTTCCAACCTGAAGACGGAAGCTTGTGTTGCCTCTGAAACGTCGTGATTTAATTTATTTTCTTTATTTCTTTTTTACCTACGTGACTTTACCGAAAAAACCAAAGAGTAACAAAAAAACACCACAAACAGCTCCTGAAGAATTGCATTGTTAGACCTCTTATCATAGGTCGCCGTCAACGTCAATTTGAACAAAACAACCCACTGTAGCAGGACCCTCCTGCAGACGAGTCTTGAGACTCGGCGATGCTCCCCTGGTTGCATGCAAGAGCAATAATTGATGATTAACCAGGGAAGACTTTTTGTTTCTGGAGGTTCCTACACTGGGATGTTTAGCCGGTTCCTTGATGCGTGTTTTTTTCTGAGCGTGGGAGAGAACTGGGGTTCCTTTTTCCCCCCATTGTGGATGTCAGAGGAGGATAACAACAGACAGACCTGTTCTTCACCTGAGGACGGCTGCTTGCGTTGTGGCCGAAACGTCGTGAGAATTATTTAATTATGTATAATTTTTATTATTTTATTATTTCCCTTCTACGTGACTTTACCGAAAGAACCAAGAAGAGGATAACAACACTCAAGGCTCTGCACTGATAGGACTCAAGAATCCATTGATGTACAGCGCAGAGTCTCACGCCAGCCGATGATCTCTTGTTGATCCACCAACCCCTTGTCTCCGACACGCCCTTGATTGCTCAGTCAACTACCACCACCACCACCACCACCGCCACCACGGTGCCAGAGCTACGTGTACGTTCATCTGCGAGAATTTAGCTACAGATTTTGATTTTTTGCCACAGCAGCCGATCGTAAGGGCGATTATTATAAAACACTTTGAATGTTAACGGCCGCCTAACTCGAATCAGATACGACCGAGGGTTGTAAAGCCGTGACGCAGAACACCGCGGAGCGCATTTCAGCCGCGTGCCAAGGAATTTGAACTCCTTTCGCGCCCGACCGGGGCACGTCAAGGGCTGCCTGCCGTGGAGTCTGGATCTTGTGCCCGTCACGGCTGCGTTGCCGCTGCGAGGGTGGCGCTCTTCACCGCTCGCAGCACGGCTCCGTATCAGCTCTGTGATGTGCGATTTGTACCGCGCCGACACCGCCGCGTGGTATACACTCCTCGGCCTCGTGGAGAGAGACCGTCAGTTAAAATAACGTTTACCATGCTCCCAGGTTTTTTTGTTGTTCAGCGGCATTTTGAGGATAGAAAAATGCGTAACATTGTGAATTTCGCGAGGTGTGGTTCCGCACTAGGGGATTCGTAGGCATTTTCACGTATCCCAAGAATATTGGTTTGATGTTTCATTCACGCGGTTTGGACATTGTGAATTTAGCGAGGTGTGATTTTACGCTAAGCGATTCTTAGGCATCTCCACGTCTCCCAACAATGTTGGTGCGATTGTTGTTCCATTCCCGCGGTGTTCTTAATAGACGAAATAAATCCTGTTTGTACAAAAAAAAAGAGAGACGGGGAGAGAACAACTCGGAGGCACTAGGAGGAGGAGGAACCATAGACGAGCGGGAAAGGCAGCAGCGGCACAGACGGAGAGCCGGCGCTACCAACGGTTGCCCAAGCTCTGCGGTCCTCTATATGCCAAGATGTTTTGGCCATCTTAGTCTCGTTGAAGTTATTTGTAATAGTGCTCTGAGGGGGTAAATAACATATTTTAATGCTTATTATGATCTGAGGAGCAGCTGATACAGTACTTGCTCTATCCCCATTACGTTCATGAATCGGGACTCCTTTGACTACTTGGGGTTCTCTGCTTTTGCTCAGTTTGCGTGTTCGGCAAATTAATTATGTTTAAACGCGTGTTTACACGTGTTTACACATGAGAGGAAACCAGAGCGCCGGGAAAAAAAGGAAAACCCACGCGCGCAAGAGGGCAACGCTTTATCTCATTCGGATAGAGACACAGATGGAGTCCACGTGTCGCTGTAATGCGTTCCCCTGCTGCGCCGGGGTACGGCACGTCCGCCGACGTCCGCCGACGTCCACGGGAAGAAGATTTCGGAGCATTTTATGTGGCGATCCAACAACCCTCGCTGCCGCCTGCAGAGCGCTGGGTTAGTGAGCAGGCCACGTGCAGCAGCGTCGCAGCCAAACATAAAAACGGGCTCACAATACAAGTAAATAGAAAACAATTAGATTGAGAGACATGGCATGAAGGAAACAAGTGAAACCGAAAATGTTTATCTTCTTGGTTCTTTCGGTAAATTTCGATTCAAAGAACCAAGAAGATCTTTCGTTAAAGTCACGTAGAATGGAAATAATAAAATAATAAAAAATAAAACATAATAAAATAATTCTCACGACGTTTCGGCCACAACGCAAGTATCCGTCCTCAGGTGTAGAACAGGTCTGTCTATAAGACAGAGTCTGAATGACACGTCCCAGGCTTGGAGCGACTATTTAAGCTGGGATGGAGGGGCGAAGAGCGCCTTGACAAAACAATTTGCATATCAAGAGGAATTTGGCATATTTATGGGAAATGCAGATATGTTTATTTCGCTTATGATGAATGACGATGGTGATGAAGAAGATGGTGATGATGATGGTTATAATGATGATGGTGATGATAAAGATGGTAATGATGAATATGGTGAGGATGAAGATGGTGATGATGGTGATGATGATGGCGATGATGACGATGGTGATGATGAAGCTGATGATGTTGGTGGGGGTGCTGGAGGGGGTTTACAACGCGTGGAGCAAGACCACGGGAGAGTGTTGGGGCGCGAAGTTGGCGATGACATATTAATCCTCCGTTCAGCGCGGTTGGTTACGTACGGTGTGCAAGAAGTTCAACGTCGTATCTACGTAATACATCCGCAGCGTGTAGAGTACAGGTGAAGGGGACCGTGCACTGCTTGCCAACGCCGAGATGAGAATCGTAGCAGCGTCAAACCACATCGAGTTGAAACATCGCAGCCCGCGTTCTGGAAAGCATAGCTCACGAAGTAAACCGCGCATCGCTGAAACACGCGTTCGATAAACCAGCGTTGGGCAAGGCACGACTGTTTTGTATTGTACACTGTGCAAGAGTAGACCATTGTGTGCCCCGCAATGTGGCGTTTCTTCATCATCGTCACCATCATTATCATCATCATGTGTCATTGTCTATCCACTGCAGGATGAAGGCCTTTCCTCACCATTACCGTTGCTCATGTGATGCCACGATCCATTTCGCTCCTGCGCTGAGCAGATTTTCATGATCTCCACCTCAACGGAGGATGCCGTGGGAAGTTCCATCCCTGGGCTTCCATTCCTTTTCCAGTCTCGCCGAATCGCCATCATTCCTTGCGGGGATGTGTCCTGGCCAAGGCCATGGCCTTCACTTTCCTTCGCAATCGATGGATCTATCTGATTTGCGTGTGTCCTGTAAATCCTCGTCGGAGTAATCGTGACAAAGTTGAGCCAACGTTGGCACGTGTTTGGTCGTGGGTTCGATGCCGACCCTGACGCCTGTTGCTGTATATTTGGAGTTTGCGGTGTCTCTCTCTCCTCCCTGTGGTCGCGTGGATTTTTCTCCAGGTCCTCTGGTTTTTTCCCTCCACATTGAGAATCAAGGAGTTTTTGTCTGCGATAAATTTCCACGCAATAAACCACTTCGTTGGGCTATTATTTGTGGCCCGGGTCACTTCTGACAAAGAGCTATATAGCTTCAGCGGACCTTACCTGGTAAAATAAAAATAGTTTATAGTTTCATAGTTCATGTTGAGCTTCTTTCGCACTGCACGTAGCCAACCGTGCTCATCGGAGAAGCGGATGAAGGCCACCAAACTTTATTCTAGTTATCCATTCCTCGTCGGTAGTTGCGGCTGCGTATATTAAACTCGTTAATCTTGTGAGCTCCTGTTACGTAACGCTCGTTTCAGCGCATCGCATCGCCATGCTGCCCGTGTGCCGCTCCCATTTCGGCTGTTGGTTCATCTGGGGGGCATCTCCACACAACGGGAAGGTTGTCAGCTCCTTGGCATGGGAAAGGACCACCACGGCCACACTGCCCCTGTGAGCTGGGAGACGCTGGCACTTGATTCTTGATCGACAGCACAAAAATGTTGCCCAATTGAGCGATTAGCAGTGTAATGTTTTTCAGCGATAATTGCTATTATAATGAGCCAAGAATATCTGTTTGTGTGTATCGCACGTGACGTGACTTATCATGCCGCACCCCCCGTCATTGATATTCATGAGCCGGTGGATTTTTACACTCGCGCAGAAGAAGGTCGAGCGGAAATATATTTTATTCGCAAATTCGCTTTAGGTTTGACATTTCTTTATTGAAAGTGAATCTAATAAATAATTCTACGCAGCAAAAAAAAAGTGGATTTTGTGTCTTTATTTATTTCTTCAGCACTTGAGATAAAATGTATGCTTCAACATTCTGGTAAAATAGACATTTCTCGGTGATTTTCCAGATATTGTATCGAATTCCAATTTATTTCAACCCCATCGACCGAAATCAGAAGAGAATAAAGTGCCCGAGCAGTGAATTTGAACAAATTGAAGGTCAGTTAAATACAGTGCTACAGTGAACTGCAGTGAAGTGTTTGATAACATACTGTCGTGCAAGATTCACTGCCATTAGATCTACACAAGAAACAATGATACTCTGCTAAAAATTTTCGTAAATATTACAGCTTCCGTCCTCGGATGGGCAAACAAGCTAGTGATAATAACAGTTTACACGTCTTATTGCGCCTTTCACCCAGAGGTCACAAGGCACATTGGCATGTTTGGCCTGCACCACTTTGCCTGGTGTACAGGAGGCCGCGGGTACGATCTCGACCCTGACGCATGCATATTTGGACTCTGCATGTTCTTCCCGTGGTCGCGTGGATTTTTCTCCGGGTCCTCCACATTTAGAATCGGCATCACGCGCGTTCTAGAGTAGTAGTTGGATGCTCCCCTCACCGCCCACCTCATCCCCGCTCTGGCGTGCGTGCGCCAAAATGCCCTCGCTACGTTCTCACAATCTCGGCGGGCCGAGAGTTCTCAACTCCGTTCGATGCGCATTTGCCTTTATAAATTATACAACAACAAAAAGCTAATTTGAGTTGTTGTGTTAATTTTACTTTTCTCCCATAGGCTGAAATAGACCGCAGATGTTTTCTTTCTCATTGAGCAAAACGCGTTTTACACGTGCGGTGACCGACAAGTG